TTTTCGTAATGACGTGTATTTCGAGGATTTCTGACCAAAACTAATTGAAAAAACATTTAAATTAAATATTCTGAATCACCAAATGAAGCTCCGGCGAATCAAATATCATTAAACGAAATCGGACTTTTTACTTGACTTTTGCTTCTGGTGCGCCTTTCAAACATTTGATCGAGTAAAATGAAGTTGTCGGACACAATCTTGTACTTCTTTTACTTCTTATCAACATAATTTCATTATGAAACTAATAATTAATGTAGCAAATTTGAATCTCATTCTTGTGATATTTTGATCTTACCGAACACTATTTAGATATCTTACAAACACTATCAAATAAAAAGTTTTAAAGATAACAGGTGTGGATAGATGCCTCATACACAACTCTATGACAGAATAATAGAAACAGAATAAATAGTTGTGTATGAGGCATCTGTCAACACCTATTATCTTTGAAGTCTTACCATTTTATGGCGTTTGTAAACATCTCCAATACCGATCGCCAAGATTAAAGCATCACAGACATAAGTTTCGAATTTTGTGAGTGTGTGTGTCAGTGTCGGTGCACGCATACCCACACCCTCTTGTAGCAGAAGGAACTTCACTAACTTCAAAAAGCTTGTAGTTTCTAGTAGATATATCACGCTAAATAACTGCATAATATCTAACGAATATAATTAGGTCTTCAATATGAAACATATATTTTACTTTCAGGGTTCTATCAGTGACATTTACCTATTTTATCTTGTTTGTGGTACTTGCTACATCATAATGATTTATCGGGTAAACTCATTGTGTGTGAAATTCATTTAAGTTTGCTTTAGAAAAGAAATGAAAATTATGTTTGTCACAATATGTGACATTAGTCTACTGCCATTTTTTTCTTCTTTGATAGCAGTGTTTCTAATTGGAATGTCAAACAGAATATTTCCTGACACTTTTTTTTTGAATCACAAAATCGCGCAAGCAAAAAAAAGAAACAATTCCTTTTAACATCACTTCTTAATAAACAAAGTATGTTTTAACACATAGAAAAAAGATAGAACAATAAATTATAAAAAAAAGATATGATTGTGCGAAGAGTTTTATCTGATTAAAAACAAGCAAAAATCGTTCTTCTAAACTAGTGTTAAATATTAACACTTTTAAAGTTCTTCATCTTCATTATGCATGCCAATACGATCCTCACTAAAGCATGATGTTGATTCAGCCGTAATTTCGAATTTACTACGGCATTCATTATATAATCATTATGAAACATGTCTTCTATTCAAACAAAGAATTTAGTTTGATGAAAACTCCGAATGGCATTCAATTCATCCAGAGCAACTGATGTAATAACGTTTTTTCAACGATTTGCACATTTAATGGCTTTTACTTTTTTGCTTTTTGGATTTCAACCAACTGGCATCGGTTGATGTTGGTGTTCTTTTTGAGGCTATGAGTGTCTGAGTACAGGCATGGATTGATTAGGATCGAGTGTGGTGGTGTGACTGTGAGCATATGAAAACAAGATTCATATCCACACAGTCACAGGCAAATCTCATACCCTTTCGGACATCTACACGCACACCTTGTTACTACAGACTAATTTAGTTCAGTTCTTTTTTAAAATGATGGTGAGTCGAAAAGAATTAGAAATATTTCATGTCAAAAATGTCTTCTAATAAACATACCTTCTTGTTATATCAGGTATTTATTTGTTTGTTTGTTTGTCACTCATAGAAAAAATCTTACTTTTATCTCTAATTTATATGTATTTTATAAACAAAATATAAATTAACTCCCCTAATACTGACATGTGACTGCAAGCGAATGTACGTATATACAAATTTATTGAATTTCTTCTCTCTGACCTTACTTTCAGTCGATGAAGCATTATTTATTTTCGTAAAAAAAACCTTTTCTTCACAAAAAAAAATCGAACTCAAAATGACGAGAAATCGATTACAAGCTCGTATTGATCAACCCCAATTCTATTTGATCAAATTTTATTAAAAACAATCCTTATATATACGAAGGCACGTGTCTGTCGGTGTGACTGCAAATAAACACACATGGACTCATTTGATTTCATATCATTCTCCTTTCAATCTAGGGAATAGTTTTAAATTAAATTCATTATTTACTTGCTACTATAATATCAGTAATATTTATATATCAATGGATTTTTCTTGTTAATGACTTTTGCAAAAATCGAAAATGCATACGAACAAAAAATTTTGTTTCTTTTTAGAAAAATAAAATTTAATATGTATCTTATTCTTCAGTGTATAAAATTAAATATTGAACAAAAAAATTTCCATTGATATACAAACAATAATAAAAAGAATTGATGCTTGTAGTTTGAGAATAGATTATCTGTTACACTCTTTATAAACAGAATGATGTGTTTCTAGTTGTGAATGTAAATCTGATAGCCTCGGTCATGCGTAAAAATGTCGCTTGAAGCTAAGTTTGATCAAGATTAAACTTTTGAGTGAGAAACTAAGGTCAGTGAAGCAATAATATTTTGTCAATTCTGTGTGTTAAGTACGAAATAAAAATAGGTTAATACGTAGTATAGCGCACATTCTAACAAACATTCAGCTGACACTTCATCACGATTGATTAATCTATGCGGATGATGGAGGTAGAACAAGCAAAACGATAGTAATATTTGTATGAAACAAACGCAGTATATTATTAATAATTCATGCTCTATTCATCCGTAGATAGGAATTTATGCGCAGAAGCTAAATTTATCTCGCAATATATATATAAGTAATAAGCTGCTTTACTCTCACTCATAGAACTTCGTCAATATATTACACTGCTATTCTGCTAGAGGACACACAACATTTCGCACTAGTTCAACAAGTAAGTGTATGTTATTCGAAAGCGCAGCCTTGTCAAAAAGCTTTTTTTAGTCATGAATATCGAGCAGATTTTCAAGTCGTTAAGTAGAATTACTAACTTTCTATAGTGTTATTTTCGTATTATTGTAACGGTTTTTCTCACAGAGAAGACTTTCTGAAATTTGTTTTGAAATATAGAGCAGAGATTAACTGCTGTAACTTCATTTTCCTCACAAACCATCTGTAATGTGAATTGGTAAGACTTCTTGTGAACGATACCATAAGAATGCAACCGGTCCGTATTATATGTTTTCATTATTCAAAACGATCGGCCTTGCTGAAAAAGACATAAAGTGCTATGTGAAAAGCAAGTGCGTCATAAAATTTTGTGATACGTGTTCTCTTTAAGTGGTTGTTTAGCGAAGAATGTACTCAGAATAATTTCTCTGCAGCAAATAGGTTTAGCAACACAATATCTATGAAGCTTTGACGGTGTTATTTTATGTTGAGATCCCGCTTTAAAATTATTTGAGAATATAAGTACAAAAAACTCGAAGCGACAAGTATTCAGAATTGCTAATACTTAGCTGTAATCTCAGCAGTTCGCATAAGTTTTTTGTTTCAGGCAGCAATCGTACTAACTTAGTCATTTTATTGTCGTTTTATTCGATGACGTTGCGATTACAGTGAAAAAGCATACAAGAACGTGGGCGACATAATTCCAGCTAGTAGGTCTCGAGAAACCCGTATTCTACCTAAAATGCTTCTACGATTAGCATTTTCCAACATTTTTCAAGTCACAGTACTGAAATAGAATAATCGTGTAAGTTCCTGCTTATGTTATTAGAAAAGTTCTGATGAAAAATGAAAATCATAAAAGATTCTTCAGAAAAAGAAAACAAGTTAGACAATCATAAGCCCTAAAGCAGTTTGAGTTCACTATGATTCGATAATACTCTCATGCTGCTGGTAGATAATTGTGTCCTGAATAAATGATCGCTTAGCTTTTTGCTTAGTAACTCTTTGGATTTTTATTTTGTCGAACGAACTTTTTTTCTACAGCAGTCAGCATTCAACACCTTTGAAAACGACAGAGAACTAACTCTCATATATAGAACAGCAACCAAACTGATTCAAAAATGCTGCAAGCATAGAAAGTCAATTGTTTGCATAATTTAATTACGCTTATTTATATCTCTATGTTCCGATTCTAATCATAGGAGCCAATTACAATAAAATTTCTGTTGTACTTTGAAGGTTGTTTGCCTGTAAATACACATAAGGACTCTTCCATGAAAAGCCAATCCAGTTAGATAGATGTGATTTGTCGCAAATTTTCTAAAATATCCGTGTTTTTTATCTCCCTTTTCTAGCTTTTAGAGAAATTGCTACGAAACAATACTATACAAGGCTATTTGAGTTCTGAAATAATACTATTTGAGATAGTTGATATGGGAATAATAAGAGGAAGCATTCAAGACAAGAACTAGTTCTCTGAAAAATAATTGTTTGACTGCTGTTTTGCTTGAAATGAGCTTTCTTTTAATACACAAGTAACGTTCGTCTTTGCTACTCGTTTGACCCTTTACTAAACGTTGAACTGTTTCTGGATAATATACTACTTGCCAAGCTTAATTGATACTCATACCAAGTACATGTACGAGAGCAGGCAGAACTATGAGTTTGAGTATGAATGTTGATGTGTATATCCATGTGGTCCTTCTCTTTATATATTGAAACAATCACGCTAACACCTACACACCAAATTCATATATCGTAACTCACATCCCACACTCATACGCACGCACATATACCTACGGAAACCAAAAGCTACTCATACATCCAAATAAACCACATAGAGTGCATCTAAATTCACAACACACTCCAACTTCCATATCAGCATACCCAAACTCTACATCTGCACCAATACTTACCCAACATCCATGCCTCCGTAACCATCACATACGAATAGCTGGCATAAGAAAAATTTCTTCTTTTGCTATCGTTGTGTCAGATGCTTTTCGATTTATTTAGTTTTGAAAGCGCCCAATAGTTAAGAGTGTTTTCGAATATACAATAGGATTTTTATCAATATTGATCATTGAATCATCGTTATAAGAAACACTTTTGTGAAGCATATCAAGGAAAAATTGAGTGTAAAATAAAAGCATGCTGGTCGAATCCGTCTTTTTGGTTATCTCATTGCCTTTCGTCGTATTTGGATGTGGTATTACGACACATATCGAAGTTTCACATCGCGCTCAAGATCTTTGGCTACATCAACCTGTTTATCGACAATATATTCTCCAACATCAAGATGCATTGCAAGGAGGATCTCCATATCCTGATGCTATGTACAATAGTTTCTGTTATAACAGTAGTTTACATCAAGTAGCTGAAGATACCCATTGGTAAGGAGAATCGATCACTTCGTTTAACATGATAGTTATCTTATTGTTCACAATTCAGGTATCCATTCATGAAAATCGCCATTGAATATATGCGTGATCGACATCCACCACCGCTACAGCCCGACAATGTTGATGGACAAAAGTTACTTGTATTTCTACTCGGTGTGGCCTCTCATCAAATAGTTGATGCTGTGTGGCATGGAAATTTAACAGGATGTCCGAATGGATTTATCGATGCAACAGCCTGGGAGAGTTTTAATGACAATCAAGAAATGGCACATTCAAGTGATGATACTGGTGGAGATAGTGTTGTTAATTACGAATTACCGGTCGGTTATATCGGTAAAATATCGAAAAACTAATGCTTTTTCTAAAAATGATCTCTCTACAATTCATAGGGCTCATCAACAAGTGGTTTGTTCCAATCAACGAACTTGAAGAGATCTATGCACGATATGCTGTCGCCAGTAACTCATCAACTGAAGAAAATACTACTGCGACACATGTTCAATCCTGTTCTGATGTTATGTTTCGTGGACTAGTTGCTGATGCTCTTCTTCTTGGCTTTAAATATTCTACATATTCAAGCAGTAATAGTTTTCTACTCGATCAAGTGCACGACTACTACTACGGTGGCTTGTCAAATATGGTTCAGCTGACAGTCCGATACTGGGATCAAATTATTGCAATGTACGAACTTGGAACAGATATTTGTACATTGGCTGATAATAATCCATACTATTTGAATTGTACCATAGCTCACAATATCACACATCAACAACAACAAGAATTGACATCGTACGTTCAATCAACACTTTTAGACTATTTACCCTATTCAGACAATTCTTTATCGCTGTTTTCGTCATCTGACAACACCGAAATTTCTACTGGACTCATTTCAAATCAAAGTTATGCCGCATTTGGTCATGCAACCCTCTATGGTGATTTTAACGGTGATGGAATTACCGATCTTGTCGTGTCAGCACCCGATTATTATGTTCTTGGATGTGTGCAAGGTGGTCGAGTGTTCATTATCTATGGTCAAGAGAATCGTTCCCTTGTACCCGAGCGTCAAATTTCGATTATTGAAGGACTTGCCAATCAAACACTTATTTCACCAAAATGTGATGGTGATCGATTCGGTTCAGCATTAGCTCGCCTTGATTGGAACAACGATGGATTTGATGATCTAGTCGTTAGCAGTCCATCGCATGGATTCGGCTTCCGTGGAGCAGTATTTGTATTTGCCGGTGGTGCACATGGTCTTCAACCTTATCCCTATATGCATATTTATGGAATGAATGAACATGACGCGATCGGTTTCAAACTATATACGGCAGATCTCGATAATGATACTCGACTTGATTTGATCATTACAAGTCCATACGCTCAGCCGAACGGTTATAATCAACCACAACAAGGAGCTGTCTGGGTCTTCCTGAACTCTGACCATCATATATTGGATGATGAACTCACTGTTACCAATGCATCATTCACCATTTGGGGTGAAACAGCAAAATCGAAATTTGGCTATTCACTTGAAATGATTCCATCGTCGTGCATCGACAATATGACTTATCCAGCTGCCATCATTAGCGCACCAGCCGACGATGGTAAACTGTTCGTGTACTCATTTGAACCCGAACCCCATCTCATTCTTACTCTCTCAGGCAAGCAAAAAAAGGATCGTTTTGGACAAAGTTTTTCTATTGATAAAGACAGATGTTGGCTCGCCGTCGGATCACCGACCCGTTCCACTAATTGGTACGGTGGTGTTGATATTCTTTTAGTATCCGATCTTTTCCATCAATCAAGTATTTCTCTTCAATTAAGTGACATTCCTGTGCGTCTCTCAATTTATGGTGATATGATTTTTGGACGTCTTGGTACAACTATTCAATGGACACCCAACGGTGATTTATGCATATCAGCGCCACTCGGCAAGAAAAATTTTCTGCTATTGCAGATGCAAAAGTCCGTAGGTCGTGTTTACATTGTATCTGCTAATCAAATCTCAACGCAGCCAGATCCAGTGGCGAGATCAATTAAACAAATAAGTTCGACGACCTACGTCGCTAGGAACCAAATGAACCGATTCGGTAGTCGTACTGACATTCTTTCTTCAACACTTTCTTCCTACTATGTCATTGCCTCGCCATTTACAACCGTATCTGACAATGTTCGTCTGCCGGGCATGTTATATTTTCTATCGTTATAAGACTGATTTTTAATTTTAAAAACTTAATCCGCACACAATGTAAAGACTGCCTTTGTCAATAAAACAGACGAAAAGTTTTCTCTTGTAGGTAGCATCAGTAGTCAATGTTGACAGTGTCTCTTCATTAGTGACCAACAAATTATCAACTGTAATAGGTATGATAATGCAAGCACCCATTCATAAATTGGATCTCTCAATAAAAAGCCTCTTCTGAATTTGAATACATAGTGGCTTTGTCTGTTTTGTAGAGCATTATTCGCTCTATCGCCTGGTATACGAAAATTTTCGCCTGACATTCATTAGAGCTAATCTGATGATTAGACTTTCTCTCACAAAAAATATATCTGAACTAGTTGAGTAAAATATTTGATAGAATCAAGATTCTACTATGCTTCTTTTCGACAAATTCATGGAATTGCTATAGATTCGAATAGTACACAGATATACGTAATTGCTCGTAGAAAATTTTAAGATTGCATGAAGCTTTCATTGAAGAATTTTTCTTAACGTAATTCCAACATACCTATTTTGATCTATTTTTGTCACTTCAAAGTGACCAATGCCGAATTTCAAGACTAAACTCACGCAATTGACACAAATAGTTACAAGTATGTAATTTCATCAACGTCGTTTTCTTATCGTATGAGTCTCCATTAAAATGATTAATAAGGAAGCCATACATCATTTGAAATAGATTATTTCACTATATCAGAAGACATATTAATTGGAATTCCGTGACTAATTCGATTACTAATATCGACTTATTTTATATATGCAAAAATTTATAATATTCAGAGAAAAGATATATATTTAAAGTTTATATCGTATTCATAATAATTGAATACGTTAAATCATATCCAATGTATTGGATGAAAAATTTTCGACAATTCCGAGTCACAAGACTTTTAACACAACTAATCTGAAAATAATTTCATTCTGTTTTTTTCAGAACTTCTGTTTTCTTAAAAAAATACAAAAATTTTATACGAAATGATAAATATTTTGATGAATTTGAAAACTAGATTCAAAATTTTACTCATGTTTACAAATATTAAACAATATGAATTGTTTGTGAATATTAATCAACTTACTGCTGGAAAAACCTAGAATCTTTCATGACCACATAGGTGTCACAACCCTACTATTCCCCCCCCCCCCCCCCCACTTCCTCCACAGTTTGCCGAGCTTTGATATTATTCATGCATTTAAATGGTTGATTTTAATCTTCGTCATATTATTGCAACCATATCATTGATATTTTAGAAATTTTCTCAATTGAGTTTTGTTTTGATTGAAATCTAAATAAAAGTAATTGTATATCTTCTATGAAAGACAAAAAACAAAATGTTCACTTTCTTTGTATTTGTATTAACAAGATTTTTCTTGAGAATAATCACCTTAACAGAAATATTAACATAGTATCATTCTTTAAAAAAAAAAAAAGTACACACATGTGGACATATTTTATTACGATAAATTTTCAACAATAGTATTGGATCTGTATTCACACCATAAGTTTTCACAAAACCGGTATGTTTTTTTTCTCCTTTCTTATCATTCTTTAACCTGTGCCGTGCATGATTAATAAGGAAGATAACGTCACTTCCTAAAATTTATGAGAGAAAGAAAAAGAAACTTCGTAATGTCGTAAAACACGAAACACAATGTGTTGTATTTTTTTTCCTCCAGTACATTATTTTTATTCTTTATGGCTAATAATTATGACGATGATGAAAATGCAATATTGAGACAGTATGAAGATTTTAGAACAGTACATAACATTTCGGAAAATTCCTCGACTGCTATAATTTCAAGTAATGGTAAAAATATCGATTTTTATAAACATATTAATTGCATTACATTATCATCATCTACACCGTTCATTACCACTAACAATAATGTTGCACAATCATTAAACGATTATAATGAAATACCTTTCGATTATAATGAATGGCAAATACATGATTCACATGTTGTCAAAAAACGTCCACCACGACAAAATGAATTTCTTCAACTTCTTTTAGCAAATCCACGTTATTGTTCATATCTATGCTGGTTAGATAAAAAGCGAGGTTTATTTAGAATTCTTCAACCAGATCAAGTAGTTAAACTATGGGAAAAAGTTAAAGGTCGACAAACGCAAGGAAAAATGAGTTATGAAACATTTGCACGCGGTATTCGACATTATTATAAAACAGGAATGATGATTAAAACAAATAAAAAATACACATTCTGTTTTCAATAATCTACACAATGACACTTCATCATAAAGATAGATATTCTCTTCACTATTGTCCATTTCAAAATATAATATGCTCTACTGTTCTTTGAATAACTCGAGAACGCAAGTCGCTAGAGACCTGCGCTTTTCACCAATCGAAAGAGGAGACCGGAGGACGTCTTTTTCTCCAATAAGAGGTAAGAGGAGATCCTTTTAAAAGTAATTATTTTCGTAAAACATGTAAAAGAAGGCATGAAAATGACGTTCCATCTAGATTAATTTTTGATTTTGACCTTTGATTTAGATAGAGAAACTGGAAATTTCAAATCTGTAGTTCAGGATATAATGCGCTTTCTTACTTTTTATTAGATTTCCATCGATATGTCAAGCTATTATGATAAAAAGTGAGAAAACTTAGTAAAAAATTAGCAAAAATCCCTATTATGTACGCATGTAAAAACATGATTCAATTTGCTCAACGTTAGAATGTAATAAGAGAACCAAATTGCATTGTATCTTGAACTATAAATTAGAAGTCCCTTTATCTAAATCAAAGGTCAAAATCAAAATTTTATCTAGATAGCACGTCATTGGCAGGCCCTTCTTTTCCATCTTTTTCGAAAATAATTAGTTTTGAAAGAATTCCCTCTTAAACATTATTAGAGAAAAAGACGTCCCACGGTCTCCTCTTTCGATTGATGAAAACCGCAGGTCTCTAGTTGCTTGCGTTCTCGAATTATTCAAAAAATAGTGGAGCACATTATATTTTGAAATGGACAATAGTATTTTTTTAATAAAAACATGAACAAACGAAATCAAAAATTAATAAAAATATATAAATTGCTTTTTAAAGATTAAATGACGAATTCTATCAATATTTCCTTTTTTTTTAGAAACCTACACCGATGTGAGAAACTTTCGAATAAACAATAACGTAAATAAATGTATAGAAATTGCTTTCGATCACAATAAAAATGAAGCTTGCCTTGTCGATGATTGTTATCCATTAATAGGAACATATTTGATATTTTATGTATATCTGGTAAGCTTTAAAAATGATTGCTCAATTCTGTATGAGTCATCCAACTGCAGCTCTAAACAGAAAACCGATGTGCTCGAAAATTATTCTTTTATCATGTTGACTTGCTTTAAAAGATTTCCAGAAGAATCGATCAAAACAACAAATAGCTAAAAGACATATTTCTCAACAACGAAAACAAACATGATAGCAAATTTAATATATATAATTATGTTGTATCATATATTTCAGATATTGTAAGAAGATTCAATGATGATATTGAGAGAAATTTGTTAGAATAGTTAAATGAGAAATTTGACATACTGATCCAAGAAAATCTTTTCTTTGAAGTTTTTATCATATGTATTTCAATCAGAGCTGGTGACTTAGCCTAATTTGCCTATAAAATTTTGCATCTGATTAACATATCATCTTACTATTCGAAAAATATTTTGACAAATTTATTCCAACTCAGTTATAAATATTTGAACTGAACGTCAATTGAATTTCGTAGGAATCACGTTGACTAACTGAAGAAATTCTTTTAAATTCAAAATCATGGGAAGATATCTGTTATGCTCATACTGCTGAAAATATGTAGTCCTAATCAAATATTAATTGTTCTATCATTCTTTGTGTTTTTTCGGCTTTACAAAACAGAATTCATACAATCAAAAAACAATGTGGCAGTTCAAACATTTATGAAAAAAAAAATAAGAGAACAATTGAAACGTATGTAAAAATAAATGTATTCATAAAATGAAAAATAACAATTGGTCTAGATTGGTTTGCAGATATTACGAATCAAGTTAAGTCAGATCATAAAAAAGTTCTTTTGGTAGCACCTTTGATTTGAATATTGTATCGCTAAGGTATATGAAAGAGTTTATGCTTTTTTTTAGCTTTCCATTCATTCAAGTTGAGGTTGATTGTATTATTTACCGTTAAAAGATATATTCAGTGTCATAAGAAAGCCTAATAAATATATCCAATAGTAATTTTGACCTAACGCTTTTATTAAACGTTAGCCTAATCATAATAAAATATTTACCTTTTTCTTGTCATTATCTCTTTTATTTGTTTCTCAATTTGACGAAGCTTTAATTCATAATTACTTTAACATCAAAGTAATGATTATGAATCGATAGAATCTGACTTTTTCTTATCAGTCATTAAGTAAATATAATGGATTTATAAATATTTATTCTAAACATCGTCACAATGCGTAAAGGTGAAAGAATGCTTGAAAATCAACTAAATACTAGAACGATACCGTCCATTATTGATTCGTTGGATGCATTATTTACAGGTATTGATACTGAATCTACATATCCTTCTGCTATGGATGATATGAGAACTAATTTTTATCTATCAAATGATTATCTTGGTACTTCTAATGGACAACATACACTTTTTTATCAAACAATTAGTCCGGATCAAATGAATATAAAAAATTCAATATCGAGTGTTTGTTCGAATGATTATTGTCAAGAACGTTCAAGAAATTCATTAAAGAATACTGATGACATTTATTTTAATTCATTTGAATGGCATATCAAAGATACATTAACAGGAAAACTACGGTCTCCAAAATTAGATGAATTTCTTCATTTATTACTTAATAATTCACGTTATATTTCCTATGCATCTTGGTTAAATAAAGCTACAGGTTTATTTGAAATTCATAATCCAACTAACGTTATTGAACTTTGGAAGAGAGTTAAAAATCGAAAATCAAAATGTAATTTAAATTATGATAAA